TTTTCTCAGAAACTATCAAAGATAATTCGACAAATTTTGTCACAGACTATTTTTTCCATCTAGAGATTAATTATGTTTAAAATTGTAACAATCGATCCAAAATTTCCCATAGCCCCATACAAAGGTACATATTCCCGGAAATTAATTTATCGTTAATAAATTTCTCAAATATATCGGAATCAACACAAAATTTTGTACATATTGACATTATATGAACAGGAATCAAAACTATGGACTTAGATCTGTATCGGTCCACAATTGGTCATAGTTCCCATATAAGGTCCACTTTCGAAAATCACTTAAATGAACATATTTTATTGATAAATAAAGCTATCGGGATAAAATTCGACATGAATATGTTTTGTATATACATAAATCATTGTACGGAATTTTTTTTCGGATCGGTCCATAATAGCTCCCATATAAGGTTCACATCAGAAAATCACTTAAACGAGCATAATTCATAGATAAATAAAGCTATCTGGATAAAATTTGACATGAATGTGTTTTGTGTGTATATGAATTACTCTACGAAATTTGTTCCGGATCAGTCCATAATCGGTCATAGCTCCCATATAAGGTCCACATTCGAAAATCACTCAAATGCGCACAATTCATTGATTAATAAAGCTATCAGGGTAGAACTCGAGGTGAATATGTTTTGTATATAGATATAAATCATTCAGTGAAATTTTTTCCGGATCAGTCCACAATTGGTACTAGCTCCCATATAAGGTCCACATCCTAAAATCACTTAAACAAGCTTAATTCATTGATAAATAAAGCTATCGGGATAAAATTCGGCATGATGTGTATAATATTAATTCTGTGTATAAATATTAATTACTTTACGATTTTTTTTTCGGATCGGTCCATAATTGGTCATAGCTCCCATATAAGGTCCACATCCGAAAATCACTTAAATGGCATAATTCATTGATAAATAAAGCTAACAGGGTAAAACTCGACGTGAATTTGTTTTGTATATATATAAATCATTCGTGAACATTTTCCACATCGGTCCATAATTGGTTACATTCCATATAAGGAATTTTTTCAGCATCGGTCCATAACTAGCTCCCATATAAGGATAACTTCTGAAAATCACCTAATGCCACATAATTTATTATTAAACGCGTCACACAGTGGTATAGGAAAAAAAAAAGAGGGAAATAATTCGGTAACTTCTAAACGGTTAATCCGATTTTAATGAAATTTGGTGTGCACAAAGAGGAGGTGTTGTCGAGTTTAGGTTTTGAAGTTGGACCTTATAGGCCAACCAGGGGCCCGGCGGGGGGGTCATCAAATTAGGACACCTCGGCTATGTTAAATTTTTAAAACGATCCTATTTCTTCATTTGAGTTCCGATTTAAAAAAAATTTCGTATATAGAATCTCCTCATCGAGCACTATAAAATTAAAATTTTAAAATTTTTACCGTCCTTACTTTAGTTTTTTTTGATAATAGCAGTCCAAATATTCCCGATTTTCGCCATTTTGTTTTATTCGCTTAACAACAAGTTTATATATCAAGCAGTGAAAGAATTATGTAAAAATCATGACTGAGTCCAAAGTTATAGGCATTTTAATTTAAAAAATTAAAAAAAGGCGATTTTTTGTCATTTTTTTGGGAAAAAAGTATCTTTTTCTTTTTAAGTTATCTAAAAAGTTTCTAAGAAGATGTATATAGAATTTATACTTTTTGGAAAGCTGACTTTACATAAAATACGATAAATGAAACAAAACCTAAAAATTTTTGATACCGAGGGGACCAGGTCCATCCAAAAAAACCCTATTTTTTATGGAAAATTAAATTTTGAGCAAAAATTCTCAAATCGCATAGTCGATATCAAATTATAGTGACCTGTTTTATATGACCCAATATGTTCTTAATCATTTTGTAACGGGTTTCGATAACCCCGCCCCTGGTATGGATATAATAGGCAAAAAACTAAAAAATCCCATTTTTGGGATTTTTTAAAACTTTTTTGGGAATTCCGGGATTTCTAATAAGAAAATTCGAAATTTTGATTTAATTTTGGATTTTAAGTAAAAAAATCTACCTAACTGTAAAATTTCATCAAAAAATATTCATAAATAAAATTTTTATTGCAATTAGAAAAATTTGTATCTTCGCAAAAACTGAATAAAAAACATTTTTTAATTTTTTTTAAAAAAAGTATTCCGCGAATTTTTTAATTTTCAAAAATTATATACAGTTTTGAAAAATAGACAAAACTACCTTTCCATTGATATATAACATGCCTACCTAATGTTTTTTAAGTGACAAATTAATTAGGGAAAACTCAACATCTTTTAGAAAATTTGCCTAGCACTATTATTTTCATCCATAAGGTTAACTCTTAAATTTGTTACATATATGGATGAAAATAATAGTGCTAGGTAAATTTTCTAAAAGATGTTGAGTTTTCCCTAATTAATTTGTCACTTAAAAAACATTAGGTAGGCATGTTATATATCAATGGAAAGGTAATTTTGTCTATTTTTCAAAACTGTATATAATTTTTGAAAATTAAAAAATTCGCGGAATACTTTTTTTAAAAAAAATTAAAAAATGTTTTTTATTCAGTTTTTGCGAAGATACAAATTTTTCAAATTGCAATAAAAATTTTATTTATGAATATTTTTTGATGAAATTTTACAGTTAGGTAGATTTTTTTACTCAAAATCCAAAATTAAATAAAAATTTCGAATTTTCTTATTAGAAATCCCGGAATTCCCAAAAAAGTTTTAAAAAATCCCAAAAATGGGATTTTTTGGTTTTTTGCCTATTATATCCATACCAGGGGCGGGGTTATCGAAACCCGTTACAAAATGATTAAGAACTTATTGGGTCATATAAAACAGGTCACTATAATTTGATATCGACTATGCGATTTGAGAATTTTTGCTCAAAATTTAATTTTCCATAAAAAATAGGGTTTTTTTGGATGGACCTGGTCCCCCCGGTATCAAAAATTTTTAGGTTTTGTTTCATTTATCGTATTTTATGTAAAGTCAGCTTTCCAAAAAGTATAAATTCTATATACATCTTCTTAGAAACTTTTTAGATAACTTAAAAAGAAAAAGATACTTTTTTCCCAAAAAATGACAAAAAATCGCCTTTTTTTAATTTTTTAAATTTAAATGCCTATAACTTTGGACTCAGTCATGATTTTTACATAATTCTTTCACTGCTTGGTATATAAACTTGTTGTTAAGCAAATAAAAAAAAATGGCGAAAATCGGAAATATTTGGACCTGCTATTATCAAAAAAACTAAAGTAAGGACGGTAAAAATTTTAAAATTTTAATATTCAAATGCGAATATCTCCTAAACTATAAGAGATAATTTACTGCTACGACGACATTTTTTATAGTGCTCGATGAGGAGATTCTATATACGAAATTTTTTTTAAATCGGAACTCAAATGAAGAAATAGGATCGTTTTAAAAATTTAACATAGCCGAGGTGTCCTAATTTGAGGACCCCCCGCCGGGCCCCTGGTTGGCCTATAAGGTCCAAATTCAAAACCTAAACTCGACAACACCTCCTCTTTGTGCATACCAAATTTCATTAAAATCGGATTAACCGTTTAGAAGTTACCGAATTATTTCCCTCTTTTTTTTTTCCTATACCACTGTGCGTCATGAGTATTGTTTATTCAAAAGCTTTTATGGAATCTGGATGGAGTATAATTAACTTTCTCAGAGCCAATGTTAGATAAACAAAATAAATAAATGTATTATGTTTATCTCAGGAACAAAACCCCAATTGACAATGCAATGAAATTTAGAAATAAAACAAAAGGCAAAAAATTAGGATTTTGGAAAAAAAAAGGTGTTTATTGATGAGTAATATTACCTTAGGCTTTGGATGTTGAAAAAAACAAGAAGAGCAAAAATCTTAGATTAGAACGGAAGCTACATTTTAGACACCTTGGCCAAGTTGACAGTTGGTTTTGGGCGTTATGAGGGAAAGAGATAGCCTCAGTTTTCATAACTTTCAGCCTTTATATAGATTAGAGCAAAGAGGGAAAACTTTGCTCATCACTTATATTAAGGCCAAAAGAATGAAGTAGGTTTTTTGGCATTAACATTGCCGCCCCCTTGCAGGATATGCAAGAGAAAAGATGGAAGGAGTCATCCGGGCCGTGTCCAAGATGTTGCTTCTGTTTAGGAATAGAAAATAAATGGTTATTAGAACAGTTCATTTTAGATAAATATAATTCATTATTTCTTTTTTATAATTGGTGTACAATGTATAATGTAAGTTAGGATATATGATGATATGATATATGATAGTGAAATTCATAAATTATAGAATATATGGATGTTTTATAGTTTGCTTAGAATTCAGCCTAAAAGTGCATTTATTTAATTTACTAGTTCATAACGAGCAGTTCGGATCTCGCAGATATCTGGGGTCTTCTGAAAACTGATTTCAACATACAGAAAAAACACTAATAAGTGCAGACAATTGAACACTTTTGTCTTACACTGTATTTACTTAATCACTTTATATTTATTAATTAAATATATGAATATCTTATTTACATATATCTTTATTTTATATTTGATTTTTTATATTTTTTTTAATAAATTTAAGAAAAAACACTAATAAGTGCATACAATTGAACCTTTAATGTGTTCAGTTTATTCTCGATATTCTTCTTCTTTTACAAAAAATTCACCGTTATTCCATTTCATCGTTCCAAATTATATGAATGTTACCATGTTTTTTTAATATTCGCATCAGGCATGGATACCATTATTTTGAAATGATAATAACTTTTGTTAATAAATAAAGTCGAGTATTTGACGAATTATTAGTCTGGTAACCCTAATAGGAACAAAATGGTATAAAAAAAATTTAAAAATATTGGAAAAACCGAAATTGTGGCATAAAAATATTGATCCCGCTACGAAGGTATATTTAAATTTTAAGCTTTTATTAATTTTATTAATTATTAATTTTTTATTAATTTTTTTCTTTTTCAGAAATTATTATTGCTACTGCTGGAAAAACGGAACCGTGGTGGTGGTCGTGGTCGTGGTGGTGGCGTTGGCGTGGTGGTGGACAAACAGGTGGTCGCGGTGGACGCGCTTTTCCTGGTGGTGGCTATGAGGTAAAACAATTTTAAATTATTTTGATTTGTTTGTTATCAAATGTTCTTAAAAATTCAAACAACTTTTTTTCTAGTTGTCTCAAGAACAATATCCTCATCAGCAACAACGACCCCAAGAGCAACCATGTCCCCTACAGCAACCATGTCCCCAACAGCAACAATTGTCCCAACAACAACAGCAATTGTCCCAACAACAATGGCCCCAACAACAACAGCAATTGTCCCAACAACAACAATGGTGGCAACAACAACAGTGGTATCAACAGCAACAATGGCCCCAACAATTGACATTTGATGGGCCGCCACAGCCACAATATCCGCTACAGCAACAACCATTTGATGGGCCACCACAGCAGCCGCCGCAATATATGCTACAGCAGCAACCGCGGCAACAACTTATTGCTTTACATTGGCCCCAACAATTGTTGGAGCAACAACCGCCGTCGTTATTTGAAGGGCCACCACAGCAGCTACAGCAACAATCGCTGCCGCCGATTAACGAACCGCCGCAACGACCACTGAAGCAACAAGCATTGGAGAAACAACAGCCCCAGGGGCAACAAGATCCGAAGCAACAGCACGAGCCAGATCCGGAGCCCCAGCAACAAAAAGAGCCGGATCCGGAGCCCCAGGAATTACAAGAGCCGGATCCGGAGCCCCAGGAACTATAAGAGCCGTATCCGGAGCCCCAGGAACTACAAATTTAATATACATATATATTTAAGTTATAAAAAATCTATAAATTTATTTTTATATAAATATATAAATGCATTACAATATTCATACATATTAATCTTTTTATTTTAGATTTTAAGGTTCAGAAAAATGATTTTTTTTAAAGCACATCAACGATGCTTTGTGTAAACGATGCTTTATCTTTTCGTGAATAATTTTTATCAAAGTTATAATGGTATAAAGTTAAAAGCTAAAAAAATCCCAAAATTACGTTTTAATCTGAAACTCAAAAATAAAAGCGTGGGTATAATCCATAACGAAGGACCAAAAATACAAATGAAATTAATCTAAATATTTGAAATATTCGTGGATAAATTCACTTTTTTAAGTTTTTTCAACCTCTTCAAAAATATTTTTTTTTTATAAAACATTTTTTTATAAATTAATTAACCTGGTGAATTAATACATTAATTTACAATCATTAACTAAAAAATTATACTTTATTATACTAAAAGTATATAATTTTGTAAATTTTAATTAGCGGGTAGGATGTGCTTCATCAGTTTTTCTTAATAGAAAACACTCCATTTTCTGCACACAGTTTTGAAATAAATTTCATACATATGACCAAACTTTTTTCATTGCATTTAATGCAAAATCGTAACTTTTTCTAACGGCTTATCGATTTTGGTATTAGCTTCATTGCCAGCTACCGATTATTGTTAAGTGTTACCAAATTTAATTAGCGGCACAAGTAACACCGCGTTTTCAGCGAAAGAGAAATTTTGATGAAATTTCTTTTGCAGCTAACCTATCCCAGCTTATATACAATTAACTGCTTTTATCATTTTTAAATTTAAACGAATTATTAACTTTTTTACACTTTTTTAATGCAAAAACGCATTTTTTCCTTCGGTTTATCGATTTTCGATACCGGTCAGCTACCGGTTGATGTTTAATGTTACCAATTTAAAATTAAATTTTTTAATGCAAACCAATTCTTTCTATAAAAAGATTGATTACTGATAAAATTCAGAATTTAAAATTTGTTTATAATGCGAAAATTCGATTTGATTTACAGAACAGACATGTATGTTTATTTTTCTGAATTTTAGATTTAAATATAAATTCGATTTACAGAACACCAAATTCGGTTTAAAAAGTTTATCGGCTTAGAAACCGATTCCATTTACAGAACAGACATAAATACATATCTCGGAAACTAAATCTAGCCAGAAATTTTCATAACTCAATGTGTGGAAATAGATAGGAATCAGCATTTTTATTTTAAAGTCATTTTGAGTATTGTGTAGTGTTATTGATAGGCAGCTTAATAGTAATTTATAGCAGTTTCAGCATTTATGGTCACAATCATTACCTCAACACATTTATCGATAATACCGTCTTAATGGAATAACGTTGCTGTCTCTAGAACGTAGTATATAGTATACTACAGTACCTTTTCGATCAACTTCATCGGAATACATGGGTCCGAAGACGGCATCCAAAGCTGAGGGATAAATTGAAAAGGAACAAGTAAGAGTGTTATATTCGGCTATGCCGAATCTTATATACCCACCATCAAACCTCGTTTGACTCGAATGAAACTTACTTATGTCGAATTTCATCTATATACTCGTATTTTTTAGGCCAGTTATAAGCGTTAAAGTAATTTTCTGACGGGGACCTTATATAGGGGGTAGGGTCAATTATGGGTCGATCCTCATATAATTTGGTAGACTGAATTTGGTTCGTATTAAATTTATTTGTGTCGAATTTCATAACTACACTCGTATTTTTAAGCCATTAATGAGCGTTGCAGTTATTTTCTAAAGGGGACCTTATATGGGGGGTAGGGTCAATCATGGACCGATCCTCATAAAATTTTTTAGATAGATTTTGACTCGTATGAAACTTACTTATGTCGAATTTCATCTATATACTAGAATTTTTAAGCCAGTAATGAGCGTTAAAGTTATTTTCTGAAGGGGACCTTATATGGGGGGTAGGGTCAATTATGGACCGATCCTCATAAATTTTTGCATAGTGATGTTGGATCATATATCATATCGAATTTTATCGCTATATTCGTATTTTTAAACAAGTTATGGTTGTTAAAGCTGCTTTTCGAGGGGCCACTTGTGTGGGGCTATCAGAAAACGTGGACCGATATTGCCCATTTTCAATACCAAACAAACCTTACCTGTAAAAAATATTTATGTGAAATTTCAACCCTCTAGCTCTTTCCATTGGGACTCTATCGTGCTTTCAACAGACAGACAGACGGACGGACAGACATGGCTAGATCGTCTTAGAATTTAATGAGGACCCAGAATATATATACTTTTGTGGGTCTATGACCAATATTTCGATGTGTTACAAACGGAATGACAAAATCAATATATCTCCCATCTTTTTTGATGGTGGGTATAAAAAAACATAATTATATTTTAAAGTTTTTAAAGATTGAGTTTTATATTTTTACTACTCTTAATGTAGAAATCTATTAATCTATAATAGCAGTTTTCGCATATTATAACTACGACTTTTTTCTAGAATGCTCAAGTTTTGTTTTCAATTTAATCATAAACTAACCGATAGATTTTAAAGCCAAAAAATATGTAATTAATTATTTTTTATCCTAAAAAAGCACACTTTTTGGTAAACATTTTTATTTTCCATTCCTGATCTACCACTCATTCAGCTTCACGTTCTGATGGAGGAGTTACGCCAGATCTAAAACATGTACTTACTTACACTTCTTGGTGGCTTTGGTTGAGCATATTTTATATTTCTGGTCATGTACATAAGTAAATTGTGAATTCGACAATCGTTTCTGCAACAACTGCCCACGGTACTTCGAAGTCCTTCAGAGCACTGGGTACATCTTTTATCGTTATTGGCATCGATCAAATCTCAAACACTTTTGGCTTACTTCCTTAGCAAGTTTTTCTAAAATAGGAGCTGTGCGTTTTTTAGACGCAGGTATGTAAAACGACCTCTGTTTTCTTTTTTTCTGATCCTTGCAAGTGAATTGGTTGTCTTTTTTATTTACTCCTACATTCTGTATAACTGTTATTCCGAAGTTCCTGTATTATGTGTATAAGGGGTGCATCCTTTGGGCCAGTACCAAGACAACCTTTAGCTTTTTATGTCCTTGCATTAGAACCAAACAAAACCAGGCAAAGCTCCCTATTTATACCCTACACCACTTTAGTGGGGAGGGTATATTGGATTTGTGCTGATGTTTGTAACATACAAAAATATTCGTCCTAGACCCACCTTAAAGTATACCAATCGGCTTAGAATCGTTTTCTGAGTCGATTAAGCTATGTCCGTCCGTCCGTCTGGCTGGCTGGCTGTCCATGTAAACCTTGTGCGCAAGGTACAGGTCGCAATTTTCAAGATAATTGGATGAAATTTGGCACGCACGTTTTATTTGACCCAAGGACTATTGAAAATGGTTAAAATCGGTCCATTATTTCACCTAGCCCCTATAGAACAGAACCCCCCGAAAAGGGCTTCTGAGCTCATAATTATGTTAAATATACAGATATATCGATAAAATGCGGCACAACTAAGTTTTATAGAAGTCTTGATAACCCTGCCAAATTTCATAAAGATCGGGCACCATTTGACCCTAGCTCCCATACAAAGTCCCCTTCAGAAAATTTCTTGAATGTCCCAAATTAACTTATAAACACGAATATTGCGATGAAATTCAGCACAATAAAATATTATGTAAATATAAATATATTCACAAAATGTTATCGGGCTTGGTCCATATTTGCCCCTAGCCCCCACATAAAGCCTCTTTTAGAAAATTAGTTTTTCATCCATAAATTGCTTAAATGTATCGGAACAAGGTAATATTGAAGATAAATGCTTTATTATGAAAAATAAATCACATTTAATATTCATAACTGGTGTAGGGTATCATATGGTCGACCACGCCCGACTATACTTTCTTACTTGTTTTTAGAATGAAATGGAATAGTACAAAAACAAGTGTTGCCATACTCACAGAATTTCATTACAATCGAATATGGAATGTTTTCGTATTTACTTGTTCAGACAAACAAATGAATAAACAATTTTCACGTTTTAATATTTCTAATTATTACTTTTTAATTTTTATATACTTTTAACTAAATAATAATTCTACTTTTGATCAGAATGAAATTCTGTGGCAGGCATAATAATGAAGACATAAAATATGTCCTAAATATACATTTTCAAACAATTTAAAAAAATACAATTTCTTGAAAATAAAATAACATAAATTTTTTAAAAATATAATTTTAAGAGCAATTTCGTACAAAATAATTTTTTGAAAATTGCATAAAAATAAATTTTATGAAGATAGTTTACTACAAAAGATTAATAAAAATTTTGTGTAAGATATTTTTTTTATAAGAAAATTTTATAGAAAATAATTTTTTGAAAATTGTATACAAAATAAAATTTATGAAGATAGTTTACGACAAAAGATTTTTAAAATATTTTTCTATAAGAAAATTTTTAATGAGAATTTTTTAAATTTTCCATAAGAAAATTTTTAAATTTTCTATAAGATAAATTTTTCAATTTTCTACAAGAAATTTTTTTAAATTTTCTATAAAAACATTTTTTAAGTTTTCTATAAGCGAATTTTTTAAATTTTGTGTAAGAGAATTTTTTAAATTTTATGTAAGAGAAGTTTATTGATATAATTCTCTATTGATTAATATTAAAATTTAACACTTTAATATGGTATACCCTGTATTTATACTGCACTTTTTTAAAAAAGTACTAAAAATATAAAAATAAAATACTTTGTACTCTTTTATACAACTCTGGGAAAAAATGTGATAAAAAAGTATGTTTTGTTCAAATCGATCCCAAAATAAAACTGTACTAGTAAAATCACTGCAAACTAAAAAGTATATTCTATCTGTCAAGTTGATACTATGGATTCTGACAGACAGCGTACATTAAAGTTCATATATAAAAAACTA